TTGGTTAAACAATTGAAGTACGGACTAATTATTTTAAACTTGACTATTAGTTAAGATAAGATACATAATCCAACGGATTCGTAATCTTAGGACTATTAGTCATGGGAATGCTAATCCAGTCCGCCCAAACAAACATGGCCTAAGGGTATTAATTGTGGATGTAAGGGTATTAATTGGAGAGAGAGAGAGGGAGAGAGAGATGGGTAAAGTGCATTAATTGAAATCGTAAGGAGATTAGAAACATCATTTAATAACGAGAAAGATATTCAACAATATTTTATCGATATTCCGTTGTGATTTAACTAAATTACATATTTTCTTTTAAGGTTTAATTAAATTATTATTTTTAAATAAATTATAAAATGTAAAATTAAAATGAAAAAATACTTATCACACTATAAAAAATTAAAATTTTAGAGACTAAAATTTAGGGATGAAATTATTTTTAGAAAACAAAATATTTTTGTTAGAAAAAGTGTCGCTATTATATTTTTAGCAACGAAAATTGAACATTAGTGATTAATTATTATTTTTTTGGTATCAAATTTTTTGTATCAAAAAGTAAACCAACTTGAGATCAAATTATTTTGTTCTTAAAAGTCTATTTATTATTGATATTTTTACAATTTTATCACTAAAAGCTTTATTTTTGACTTTTCAAGGCGACCTTTTAGCGACTATCTTCACAACGATAAAAATTAGTTTCTAAATGTCTTTTGCAACAAAATTTTCAGTTTTAGAAATCAAAAAAATTGATCTCTAAAACCCTTTTATGTTGTAGTTTCAGATCGTGAAAATATCATAAAATTAAACAAATAATTAAATAAGTTAAAAACATAAGAAATGTCTTGTCAAAAAATTCTTAGAATATGTTTGGTTTGATTTTTAAAAATTTATTTTTAATTTAAAAAAAAATTAAAAATTAATTTGGTTAAGAAATAAAAAATAAAAAATAATTATTATTTGGGAGCTTTTTTGATAAATCCTTTTTCTAAGAGTTTTATTCTATCTAACTCATATTCTTTTTGACTATTCCATTAGGTCCTATTTGAGGTAAGAAGACCAAAATACCCTTTTCATCTACTTATGTTTCATTTAGTCCACATTATTTTCTTATGTTTCAATAAGTCCTATGGGTGACATAATTATCAAAATACCCTTAATGTGAATGTTTACGCCGTCAATGTGAATGTTCACACCGTCAATGTGAATGTTCCTATTTGAAGTAAGAAGACCGAAATACCATTTTCATCTACTTATGTTCCATTTAGTCCACATTATTTTCTTATGTTTCAATAAGTCCTATGGATGACATAATTACTAAAATACCCCTAATGTGAATGTTCACATCCTATGGGTGACATAATTAGCAAAATACCCCTAATGTGAATGTTCACATCGTCAATGTGAATGTTTACACTGTCAATGTAAATGTTCACACCGTCAATGTGAATGTTCTTATTTAAGGTAAGAAAACCAAAATACCCTTTTCATCTACTTATGTTCCATTTAGTCCACATTATTTTCTTATGTTTCAATAAGTCCTATGGGTGACATAATTACCAAAATACCTGTAATGTGGATGTCACATCCTATGGGTGACATAATTACCAAAATACCCTTAATGTGCATGTTCACATCGTCAATGTGAATGTTCTTATTTGAGGTAAGAAAACCAAAATACCCTTTTCATCTACTTATGTTCCATTTAGTTCACATTATTTTTTTATGTTTCAATAAATCCTATGGGTGACATAATTACCAAAATACCCGTAATGTGAATGTTCATATCCTATGGGTGACATAATTACCAAAATACCCCTAATGTGAATGTTTACATCGTCAATGTGAATGTTCACACCGTCAATGTGAATGCTCATATCATCAATGTGTAGGGGCTCGGCCCAGCCCGGGCCGGGGCCAACCCATGTAAAGCCTCGTGGGTGCTTGCCAAAATTCGGACCGGCCCACGGGCCAAAAAATTAGGCCTAGGCCCTAGCCCTGGCACAAAGGTATTCAGGCTTTGGGTGCCCCGGTGGGTAGAGCCAAGGGGCTTGGGCCTAGACTTGGGCTTGGGTCGGGCTTGGGTGAGCCTCACCATTTTTTTAAATTTTTTCTCCCAAAATTTTATTATTTTCACAAAAAAGATATTGGGCCTCTGGCGGGCCGAGCCTTAAATGGGCCTTATGCGGGCCGAGTTTTAAAGTGATGGCCCAGGTCCTACCCCAAGTTCTCGGGCTAGGCTCGGGCCCGGCCCAAACGAGCTTGCCCCGGGCCGCGGGAGGGCTTCGGGTGGCCCACGTGTCGTGGGCCAATTTTACACTTTTATCAATGTGAATATTAACATGTCAATGTGAATATTCACATTGTCAGCAGGTTGAACCCGCTCCGGGCCGCAGGCCAATTTTACACTCCTATCAATATTAATGTTAACATATCAATGTGAATATTCACATTGTAAACGGGCCAGGCCGGACCGGGCCCGCGGGCAGGTTTCGGGCCGTCTATGGGCCGCAGGTCAATTTTACACTCCTATCAATGTGAATGTTAATATGTTAACGTGAATATTCACATTGTCAACGGGCCGAACCGGGCCCGCCGCTGGCAGCCCACGGGCCGCGGGCCAATTTTACACTTCTATTAATATGAATGTTAACATGTCAATGTGAATATTCACATTATCAACGGACCGGGCCTGCCTTGGCCCAGCGGGAGTTTCAGACCGCCCACGGGCCACGGGCCAATTTTACATTCTTACAAATGTGAAAGTTAAAATATGAATATTTACAGCCCGCCCCGCCCCGGGCAACGGGCGGGCTTCCGGCCGCCCACGGGCCGCGGGCCAATTTTACATTCCTATCAATGTGAATGTTAACATGTCAATGTGAATATTCACATTATAAACGGGCCGAGCCGGGTCCGCAGGCAGGTTTCGGGCCGCCTATAGGCCGCAGGTCAATTTTACACTCCTATCAACGTGAATGTTAATGTGTTAATGTGAATATTCACATTGTTAACGGGTCGGGCCGAGCCGGGCCTGCCCCGAGTAGCCCACGGGCGAGTTTCGGGCTGCCCACGGGCCACGAGCCAATTTTACACTTCTATCAATGTAAATGTTAACATGTCAATGTGAATATTCACATTGTCAACGGACCAGGCCCGCCCCGGGGGCGATCTTTGGACCGCCTACAGGCCACGGGCCAATTTTACATTCTTACAAATGTGAATTTTAAAATATGAATATTTACATCATAAAATTGCTAACCGTTCAAAAAATATTTGTAAGGGTATCAAAATTAAATATAAGGACATAAGAGTCTTAAAAAAAGAGTGTAAATAAAAAAAAAATTTTATGGAACAAAACTATACATACATGAGACTAAATGGGTTAATAAATTTCTTCATATACTTTTTGGGTTAAAACACTTCTAAATGAGATTTATCAATAAAAATCCCTTATTATGTTTATATAATTTCATCTTTTGAGTGATTAAAAATAATTTTTACAAATTAAATATGTCTTTTCATATTTATTTTTATTAAATTAGTTCTTTTTTTTTCTTTTTTTTTTTGTAATTTTGAAATTTTTTTCTAAACAACAAATCAAACATGATTCCAAAAACTTTTTTTTTTTTTCCATCTAACGTAATTCTTTTACAAATTTTGTTGATTTATAAAAGGATTTCAATAGGGGCAATATCGTCTATCAATTTATATTTTAGTGATGTCAGCTAATTATTCTTAACATTTAGTAAAAGATTGGGGTTAAATTATTTAAATTGTTATGCGAATATAAATTTCAAAAGGCGGGATGTAATTTCTGAAATCTCAAAGAAAAATTTATAATTTAGCTAAACTTCAAGAGAGATGTAAGTAATTTGTCCAAATATTTATTAATATAATTTAAAATGATTTTTTCTTAAAAATATATTTTTAGGGCAAAAAATTTACTATCATTTAAAACACTTAAACTAACAAATTTCTTAAATAAAAACTAAACAAAAGTTTAAAAATGTCTAAAATTAACACGTGGCAACATGGTAAAAATAAATCACTACTAGATGATTGCATTGGGTAATCATATTTCGAAACTATTGATCAATAGTATGTGCCTGTTTAGTGCAGCTTAAAAGCTGCTTATTTCAACTTTCAGCTTAATTTAAGCTATTTTGATGTGTTTAATTTAGCTTATAGCTTATACCTTATATCTTTTTGAAAGTCAGAAATCAACTTATTCTTTGAGTGGGGCAGGAGATGCATGTTTTATAAGTCAGAAATCAGCTTATGTTCATAGTCATAAGTTATAAACTGTTTAGGCATAAGGTATAAACACTTTCCCACAGCTCTACCAAACAGGGCCTATGTAAAGCGCCGCATCAGATAATACCACCTTACCATTATTGAAAAAAGAATTATGCTTTATATTAGTACGATAAATATAATAATCCTACCCTCATTCTTTTACAATTTTTTTAAAACAATATTCCGGATACATCTAATGTGACACATCATACTAATTGAATAATTCATATCTTCAATCAATGCCCAAAAGCTAGAGGGTTTCATCAGAACCCTTTTGCCTTATCTTCTCTTACAACATCTGTGAAGCAACAATGGCGAATCTGATGGCAAAAGTTGAGATTCCCAGTTCAAAAAACATTGGGCAAATTACAAACAACCCCCCTCAGGTTTGGTGAAAATACAGATTTTCTCCTGAAATTTGAGAAATTACATCCCACCACTGAGGTTTATATTTCCATAACAAATTACCCTATGAGGTTTTTATTTTCATAGAGATTCCCCCCTAATTTCTCCTAATTTGTTATGAAAATTTGACCCTTAGGGGGCAATTTATAATTTCTCAAACCTCAGGGGAATCTGCATTTTTACCAAACCTCGAGGGGGGTGTTTGTAATTTGTCCAAAAACATTTGATACCAGAGAAAATCAAACATAAATTATCTCTAACCAGCACTGAAGCAGGTTTAGAAAAGTATAAAATGGCTCTCATCAACATTGTTCTCAATTAATCCCATTCTCATATTCCTTTTGATTTGGATGAAAAGGTCTCCAAGGAAAAACAACCTACCTACCTATCCAACTGCATAGGTCACTCATTGTCTAGTAGTGTCTATAACATCTGCTACGGTTGCCATCAGACTGCTAGTTCCGCTTGAGCTGTTGCTCCAATCATTTTTGTGAGGCTGTGAAAGCGGCATCTGTACTCCAGGCTGCTGCCTGTACAATTTGAAAGTCAGCAAAACCAACAAGAATTTCTCAACTGTCAAGTCTTACAATTGGGCAGGGGGGGGGGGGGGGCGGGTGCGGGTGGGCTCACAGAAATAGCCAGTCGACCATCTGGACGAACCATTGGTATCATATGCATCCTTTCTAGCACTGGTCCCCTACCGTATATCAGGCTGTTCAAGGGTGCAAGTGCATGAGATGAAACTGATCAAATAAATCGCATAAAAGCTGTTCAAGAGTGCAAGTGCATGAGATGAAAAATGATCAAATAAATCGCATAAAGGGAGATGAAAATTGATACCAGTCCACCAATACACCTGCTGAAACCCGGTGGCAACGCCATATTCGCCCCCTAAAGAGCCATATGGATTTCCAGGAAAGCCGCCATAGCCAGGATGGGGAATGTAATTTGGATGGGGGCCGGAAATGTATGGATTAGTCCAATCAAACTTCTTATCACTTTGAGGCTTAGCAAGACAAACTTCCAACTCCTGACCTGCAGTAGGCAGCCATTGCTCATATCATTTTCCCGGACAAAAGGAAGTCAGAAACAAAAGCAACTGACAACTTAAAAGTTCATATATATTTTATGTTGTTTCTGTTTGTATTTCACACCATCTACATTAGTTCAATCAAGTCCCCTTACTAAAAGGGAGGTTGGTGTAGTCATGACAATTATGAGACTTATATTTTTTCCAAACACCAAGGGAGGTCAGAATAATTTAACCTAAAATTTACCATTCCAACATTTTATATTCAGGGCATGACATCATCAGAATAAATAAATAAATAAATAAATAAAGAAAAAGACTAATGCAGTCATTACCACAACAAAGAATTGACATACACATCTATTACTCTCATCATTTCAATGTCAATATTCTACAGCCTTTACTTGCTTTAGGTAATTGAATCAAATAATATGCAAGAACACTACCATCAATTTCATATTTCTCTGCATCTTTGACAGCCTTCAATGCACTTGACCTTTCTGCATAATGGATGAATCCAAAATTTCGTTTGCCACCAGATTTGGCAGGTGGCATAACAACTTTTGAAACTTCGCCATAGCGTTGAAATAGTTGCTTCACTTGTTCACACTGCAGGAAAATTGACTTTTAGCGGTGTTTTAGGCCTAAAAAACGCCACAATTGGTTTTTACGATGTTTAATATTTTCGTCACTGATACGGCCGTCGTAATAGCTTAACAACGTTTAAAAAACGACACAAAAGACAATAGAAGGCGTTTTTAAAAATGTCGCAAAATCTTTAACATTAGTTTAAATTTCCGTCAATTAACGTATGACATCATGATGACGTCATTTAGTGGCGTTTTTTAAAAAACGCCACCTTTCTTTTTTCACAGGTGACATCATTTGGTGGCATTTTTTAAAAAAATGCCATCCCCCCCCCCCCCCCCCCCCCTCTTCTCTCTCTCTCTCTCTCTCTCTCTCTCTCTTCCTGATTCTGAGCATAGCTGGACAATTAATTGAAAATTTGTATAAGAACACATATGGGTCAAATTTATCAACACATTTAATATCAACATCCCTTACTGCCCTTGAAGCCTTAACGCCCGAAGAAGAGGCATCAAGCTAATTCAGCTCTTGCTAACATGCATCAAGCTAATCACAATTTTTACATATATCTTGTAATCAACACATCATATAACATTATATGGAGATGGGGAAATAGTGCATAAAAGTACTCAACTAACTCCTCTACGCAAAAAATTCTCTCAATCATTCATACATAAAGTATCATCAAAATACATCTTCATCAAAACCATCATCCAACTCCATCAATCCCATCATCAATAATTTGGTTTCATCTTGCCAATGACATGATCATGAGTATCCCACCTTTGACAGAACAGTGGCACTGAAAAAACACAACGATTCAAAACAAATACGAAAAACCAAAAACCCTCATTGGCCCATTCCATAATGGGCCAATCAGCATATGCTCAACAAGTTGGAACTATTATAAGACAACTATAAGACCAATAATGAGATGCATGCTGGAACATTATAAATGTATCTTTCATTCTGAAACAATATAAATTTTTGATAGGTGAAGCAATAGTTAGTGCAAAAAACATATAAACATGGAAGCATGCATCTAATCTTTAATAACATCTGACCTTAAACCATGGAAGCATGCAGTTGAGGCATTAGTCAATAACAGGACCACCAATTTATGGAACCTATAGCTTGTGCACTATTTTTTACAAGACTCCATGACTAGTACTGATGCTACTTTTAAACCATAATTCTAGCATAACATATTAGTATCAATATCAATAAATAAATAGCCAAGCAGACAGATAATCAAACTTACAACCAAAAAGAGGCCTTTTTTCATTGAGTTTGTCCTCTCTACTTCTTCTTCTTTCCTTTCTTTGATATTTGAACCTGCATTGGATAAGAACAAATAACATGAATAAAATGTCATTGAAAATTTCATGAAAACACAACACAGCTGCAACCACAGCCAAAGCACCAGTAGAAAACACAGTTGCAGCACTAGCAGAAAACATGGACACTAAAGCCCAAGCAACTCATCCAAGGGCTGCAGGACACACAACAGATGATTGAAGTGTTGTTGAGCCAAGATCAATCTTCCACTAATTCTAATAGACTTGATCATCAAGCTATAGACATTCTTAACAAGCAATCTGAGAAAAGAATTACAACACATTTCCTTATCGAATAGCTGATGCATCTCCATTCCATCCACAGATTTTGATAAACCACAACTATCAACTATCACTATCTGCTCCTGCAAAGTACTGTATTTGATGTTTTTTGTTTCTTACAATCCATAGCAGAGGTTAATAGGGAAAGGAAAAGTTGCATTGCATAGCAATAATACTCAAACCTAGCAATCACACTTGGAGAGGGAACACTTTGTCCACCAGGCCATCCCTTGCAATTCAGCAAAGTATTAAACGACTCTCTATCATGTCATCAACTAAAAAATGAAACATTATGTATGACAAGAACAGTATAGTAATTCTTTTGTATCCCCCTCCTGCTATTTCCCATTTTCCGGAGCAACTTTCAACTGCGGCACAACAGAATTGTTGTTGCCTATGGTAACACCCCAGTCAATCAACCAGTTTAGTTTTGCTATGTAACAATTCTACAGCCAAACAGGATATGTCTCGCTAGTCGCTACACTCTGCGCACAGCCTAGAGTGTAGCATGTTCAAAATGTTGGACCAAAACAAACCAGAAAAGACAAGAAGAAGAAAAAAAAAAGATTTTTCTTTATATAGTTTATGGGATTTGAACCATAAATCTAAGAATATTTGACAAGTCAAAAAACTATACCAAAACTCTGCTTCCAGTTTTTGGGCTCACTTCTCTTTTAAGAAATCCATTCGTTTCCTTATTCCTGCATTTGGAAACAAGTATTTGGCACCGTCAGTTTATCTAGAGTGATTTTTCCAGTTTAATAGAATCAATAAACTTTCTTTATCAAAGGAGAATGAATACAAGATATTGCGAAAATTGATGTTTCATCTAGTCAAATCATATATTTTTAAATGTCTATGAACATAATCGTATGCCTTCTTGTGAAATAAAAGAATCCTTAGCACATATATGTGGCATTTACTTGTATTATGTGTAGTGTTTCCAACCTTGAATCTCTTAGAGCACACACACATTGTCAGGACTGAAGGAGAAACAAAGGATTATGATCTAAAGAAAATGTGACTGGTTCTTTTTCTGTGGTGGTGGTGGTATTTTGTTTGGGGTGGGAGAGTTGGGGAACCTGGGGGACGGGGGAAAGAAAAAATACCTTGTTTGGCTTAGTTTTTGAAAACTGTTTTTGATTTTTTGCTTTTCATGTTTTTATGTCTTTAGATACACCTAAAAAATAAAATATTTGTGAAGAAATCTGAAAATTGTTCACTAAAAACAAAAAAACCATGGAGATGTGCTGGTTTTTTATTTTTTATTTTCCAGATGTTTCACAAATATTACATCTTACCATCCATCAAGGTGCTCCTTAAATATCCGATCAAATGCACAGCAAAGCTCTAAGATGGCGTATAACTGGGCCTGCCAAAATAGAAAACAAAACCCATCCAGTAAGACAAATTTGAGTATGAACCAAAAAATATCATTGCATACATAAACGAGACAAATATAAGCTCCCCACCCCTGCATCAACAGCAACTGTTCTACCAAGGTGGTTCAACTCTGCTTCAAAGTTCGTTAATGCTTTGGTTAATCAATGACATAATACCTGGTATGCGAGCCTTGATGACAGACTCTAGTTGCTGAAACAAAATACACTCTAGGTGATAACAAGCCATTCTATATATACTATCTGAAAAACAAAATGAAACATTCAAGATATTTATTTAAATGCAATTAAGACCATCTACACCTTAGAGAGAAGTTTTGCAAGATATTCTGAACCCATTCTGCTGGCTGAGTGTCCATAGTCAGGATTGGTGGCAAAGAATTCACGCTCCCTACGCCTAGCATCAAGCATGTCAACATTTCTATTTATATCAGCCTGTGAACAGTTTACAATTCCAACCCAAGGAGCTGCAGTCGGTAAGATCTTCCTTCGAGAACCTGCAACATAATACAAACCAATATTGAGAAAATGAGAGACCCAGTATTCTGCATCCATGCATTTTTTATGGTATAAGTTTATAAATCTTGCTCCACAAGTTTTGCAAGATATTCTGAACCCATTCTGCTGGCTGAGTGTCCATAGTCAGGATTGGTGGCAAAGAATTCACGCTCCCTACGCCTAGCATCAAGCATGTCAACATTTCTATTTATATCAGCCTGTGAACGGTTTACAATTCCAACCCAAGGATGCTGCAGTCGGTAAGATCTTCCTTCGAGAACCTGCAACATAATACAAACCAATATTGAGAAAATGAGAGACCCAGTATTCTGCATCCATGGATTTTTTATGGTATAAGTTTATAGATCTTGCTCCACAAAATTTACAAATGCATGAGATGAAAGGATACAAAAAATTGTAAAGTAGAAGTGATTTTTGGAATGATAATCGACAGTTACTCATAACACTTGCTATTGACAATGGCCAAGTAAATGATCTCCCCTGCAATGGATTCTAAGAAAACAGTTGAATAAGAGTTCTCAACTGTCCACCAAGAACAAGTCCAGTTTTCTGCATTTCTAAACAATACTTGTTACAAGGTAAGAGAACTTACATCTAATGCATTTGTTCTGTCACGACCCCATTCCGCCCCTAGTAGAATGGTGCCATGATGGCCAGTAATCTGAGATTACCAAAGGCCAACTTTGAAAAGTTCACACACAATCAGAGTATACATATGGGGCTTACATGTGCGGAAGTAATATATTTGAATCTAATTAGTCCATAGGAGCTGTGCATAGATCAAATGAAATGACATACATCTTAACATGGTTTACAACTTGGATACAAATAAAATAAAGTACATATTACATCTTGATCAAAAGGCTTCTCAAGCCGACATGTACAAAATGAACTACAACAACCAAGCCAAGAAGCATAATCTTCAAGATGCTACAAAATATGAATCCAAAACATCTTGCAAATATTCAACTAGGCGTCACCGCCTTCTTGCTCGTCACCTACATATATATAAGGAGAGGGTGAGCTTGAATACTCAGTGAATAATAATAGTAATAAAGGTTTGCATGAATGTTATTCAAGATTTTCATCAAAACAATACATAGCATAGTTTGTACAAAATCAAGGGATGAACCAAGTTCATCTATCAAGTCTTTCAAAGCTTCAAGGAATGCTTACTAGTATCAATATAATACAAGGGATGACATTCCGGACAAACCCATGCGGGAAACCATCTGTGGCAAGACAAGGGAGATATCTCAAACAAGGGTGCTAGTTGCATTATAGTCCCCTATCACTAAGGACTTTCAAAACAGGGGTACTAGTTGCATTATAGTCCTCTAGCACTAAGGACTTTCCAAGAATGTCATCAAAACAAATATAATACTTGATACAAAACTAGAGATAATCATTTATACTTGATCAAATACTTTTCCAAAGCAAAGCAAAACTTTATCAAAACTTTATAATATAGCTTTATTAAAAATACCACTCACATAGCTCCTCGTGTGCAGGGATTAAAGCAAGGGTTCCAAGGCCTACAAGCACATAATAAATCCCATTGAATGCACTTCAAGAAGTCAATGAGAGATGCTCAAAGATGGATATGAAATGCATTCCTAAAACAAGTTTTGCACGAGTGTAAATGATCTCGGCATTTCTTTCAAAACTAAGTCAAGACAAAGCAAAACACGTGCTGGGAGTTAAAACACTGTTTCCCAACTCGAGAAAACATGCTGGGTACCAACCAGGTTTTGGAATGGATGCACAGAGATGATCTAGGCAAAAATGACCTAGCTGGGTGAACTTAAGAGGTCTTGGCCGAGGTCCCACACCTCTTGGTCGAGGTGTGTTTACCTAGACTTCGGTGTGCAACTTCCTGCCAAGGTGTTACAAGGTGCCGGCAAGGGTGTACCATGGTCGGCCTAGGTGTGCATTATAGTCCTCTAGCACTAAGGACTTTCCAAGAATGTCATCAAAACAAATATAATACTTGATACAAAACTAGAGATAATCATTTATACTTGATCAAATACTTTTCCAAAGCAAAGCAAAACTTTATCAAAACTTTATAATATAGCTTTATTAAAAATACCACTCACATAGCTCCTCGTGTGCAGGGATTAAAGCAAGGGTTCCAAGGCCTACAAGCACATAATAAATCCCATTGAATGCACTTCAAGAAGTCAATGAGAGATGCTCAAAGATGGATATGAAATGCATTCCTAAAACAAGTTTTGCACGAGTGTAAATGATCTCGGCATTTCTTTCAAAACTAAGTCAAGACAAAGCAAAACACGTGCTGGGAGTTAAAACACTGTTTCCCAACTCGAGAAAACATGCTGGGTACCAACCAGGTTTTGGAATGGATGCACAGAGATGATCTAGGCAAAAATGACCTAGCTGGGTGAACTTAAGAGGTCTTGGCCGAGGTCCCACACCTCTTGGTTGAGGTGTGTTTACCTAGACTTCGGTGTGCAACTTCCTGCCAAGGTGTTACAAGGTGCCGGCAAGGGTGTACCATGGTCGGCCTAGGTGTGAAGTGGTTAGCCTAGGTGTGCATGCAAGATAGACTAATGGTGCAAGTGATCATGCAAGGTAGGCCAAGGTGAGATACGATGCTTGGCCTAGGTGTGAGATCAAGGCAATAGTGGTTTCAGTGACCACACCTAGGGAAATGAGGTCTGGAAATCTGGGTTTCCTCCCTTGAAGAACATGAAGAACATGAATGCTAAAATCATAACTTCTTTATGCAAAATCTGCGATTTCATGAGATGAGTTCGAAACCATGGACCTGAGTACCCATACTTGACGATCTTATGAAAACAAACACAAAAACATGGATCTTGATACAAACTTTCGGATCAAAACATAGTTTTCTTTCAAGAACACAAGAACATCATTTTCTCTTTCTAAAACAAACTTTAAATCAATGCATGGCTCATGAATCATGCTAGATCATGCAATGTGATTGGATCAATATAAAGAACAACAAGAGTAAATCAAGAATCTAACCTTAAAACACGGATCTAACGGTTCAAGGTGTGAAGATCAAGCTTGGAAATCTAGCTCTCTCTAAGAACTTCTCTTCTTCTTCCTAGAGCTTCTCTCTCTTCCTAGGATAAGATATGACAAATGATGTGGGTTTCTCTACTGCCAGCAGACTTAACCCTCTGCTGGGACACGTGGCAACGTCTGGTTGGATCTCCTCAAAAGGTGACTGAATGACAAGACAAGAGTATGACAAAGCCTCTGTTTGGGAAGTGGGTTGGCTTTGTGGCTTTTTTAGCCTGGGGCTAAAAACCCTGGTTTGGGAAGGGCTTTTTGGCTTTTTTGACTTTTTTTGTGAGAGAGGAGTGTAATGATTATGGGTTGTATTTGATGTATTGTTTTTTGTGGCTAAAATAGCCTATTTTGTTTTTTGTGGCTATTTTAGCCCCTAACCCACCAAAACCAACTTCCCAAACTATGCCAAAGTGTGTTCAACAAGTAAGGTGACAAGGGCATTCTATCAAGGCAATGACCTCGGGTCAAGACACAGGTTTCGGCAATAAGGTTTCGGTGACCTCGGCTAGGAAGGATAACACTTGGCCTAGCTGTGCCATACCTCGGCCTAGATGTACCACACCTCGGTCTAGGTCATACCAGTTCAGGAACAAGATCACTAGGTGCAGGGATCAAACATCTAGGATGTCTAGATGGTAACATCTCAGCCTAGATGATACACATATCGGCCTAGGTGATGCACACCTCGGCCTAGATGATGACATCTCGGCCAATATGCCAGGGCAAAGGTGGAGGTCAACCAAAGTGGATTCCAAGATGGTCCTAGGTATAAGAGGTTCAAGGGCGCGACCTAGGCTTAAGATGACATCGGCTCCACACACCAAGCAAGAGACGAAACATGCAAGCAACACTTAGACAAAACAAATTCATGTGAACATGACTAAGATAAAGTGAGGGTTGTTACATCCTATCCCCCTTAAAGAAGTTTGGTCCCCAAACTTGAGTTACCTTGCCCCATAAACAATTCCGGATGTCGGATTTTCATTTCTTCTTCCATTTCCCATGTAGCATCCTTGCCGTAACGCTCTTTCCATTCAACCTTCACCATTGGTATCAACTTGTTCCTCAACTGTTTCACTTGTCTATCAAGAACCCGTATCGGCTTCTCCTCATAACCCAAATCTTCATTAACCACAATCCCGAAATGATCAATCACATGCAGTGGATCCCGAATATACTTCCTCAACATCGAAATATGAAACACATTGTGGACCTAACTTAGTTCTGGCGGCAAAGCAAGTCTGTAAGCAACGGGTTTAACTTTCTCAAGAATTTCAAATGGTCCAACATAACGAGGTGCTAATTTTCCTTTCTTCCCAAATCTTGAAACTCCTTTCATCGGCGAAATCTTCAAGAATACATGATCCCCAACTTCAAATTCTAACTCTTTTCTCCTCTGATCGGCGTAACTCTTTTGTCGACTCTGAGCAGTTCTAATTCTCTACTGAATTAGCTTAATCTTCTCAGTTGTCACTTGAACTAACTCGGGACCAATCAAAGCTTTATCTCCTACCTCGGTCCAACATATCGGCGATCTGCACTTCCTTCCATACAAAGCTTCATACGGCGCCATGCCAATGCTAGCTTGATAACTGTTATAGTAGGCGAATTCTACTAATGGCAAATGCACTTCCGAACTTCCCTTGAAATCCAATACACATAGTCTAAGCATATCTTCAAGTGTCTGAATTGTTTTCTCTGTTTGCCCATCGGTCTGGGGATGAAAAGCTGTGCTAAACCTCAACTCAGCTCCCAAAGCTCTTTGTAGACTCTGCCAAAATCTAGAAACAAGCTTCGGATCTCGGTCTGAAACAATGAACATCGGCACTCCATGAAGTCTCACAATCTCGTTCATACACAACAAGGCAAGTCGATCGGCATTAAAGATAGTCTTAACAGGCAAGAAGTGTGCTGACTTAGTTAATCTATCAATTATAACCCAAATCGAATCCATACCTTTTTGTGTTCTCGGCAAACCAACAACAAAATCCATGGAGATGTGTTCTCATTTCCACTCAGGAATTGACAAAGGTTGAAGGAGTCCTGCTGGTCTCTGATGTTCCGCTTTTACTTGTTGACAATATAAGCACTGGGATACAAACTCGGCTATTTCCCTCTTCATATCTGGCCACCAAAAAGTTTGCCTTACATCTTGGTATTTCCTGGATGAACGGCAAATCTGGAACCATGGGCTTCCTGCAAGATCTTCCTTTTCAACTCTGGGACGTCGGCCACACACAATCTTCCTTCAAACTTAAGTACCTGATTCTCAATGGTATATCCTGGCCTCGGCTTAGTGATAATCTTGTCAATTACCTTCTTGAAGAATTCATCCTCCCTCTGTCTTATCTTTACTTCCTCCACGATAGTCGGTTCCACTGAAATCATTGCCAAACATGCCAAATTCCCAACTAACTTCCTGCTTAACGTATCGGCCACCGAGTTTGCCTTACCTAGGTGATACTGAATCTGTATGTCGTAGTCCTTCAATAACTCAAGCCATCTTCTCTGCCTCATGTTCAATTCCTTCTGAGTGAACAAGTACTTTAAGCTCTTGTGGTCTGTGAAAATTTGGCAAGAAGGTCCATACAAGTAATGACGCCAAATCTTCAAAGCAAACACTACGGCTGCTAGCTCTAGATTATGGGTAGGATAGTTCTTTTCATGGAGTTTCAATTGACGAGATGCATACGCTATGACTTTACCCTCTTGCATTAACACACAACCCAAACCCTTATGTGAAGCATCACTATAAATCTGGAATTCCTCATTACCTGACTATAGTACAAGAATCGGTGTTGTGACTAACCTCGTCTTTAACTCCTGGAAGGCTGATTCTCTATCCTCGGTCCATTCATACGCCACTCCCTTCTGAGTTAGTTGTGTCAACGGTACTGCAATTCTTGAGAAGTCCTTCACAAACTTTCTGTAATAACTTGCCAAACCCAGAAAACAACGAACCTCGGACACGTTAGTCGGTGTCGGCCAATTCACAATGGCTTCAATTTTGCTAGGATCAACCGAAATACCTTCTTCATTAATCACATGTCCCAAAAATGAAATGCTAGAAAGCCAAAACTCGCACTTGCTAAGCTTGGCATACAACTTTCTGTCCCTCAAAATTTGTAGGGCTAGTCTCAAATGCTTCTCATGCTCAACTCCACTCTTGGAATAGATCAATATATCGTCGATGAAAACAACCACAAACTCATCTAGGTATGGCTTAAAGACTCTATTCATCAAATCCATAAATGCTGCAAGAGCATTAGTCACTCCAAAAGGCATTACCAAAAATTCGTAGTGGCCATATCTTGTTTGAAAGCAGTCTTCTCAACATCCTTAGCTTTAACCTTGAGCTGATGGTAGCCCGACCTGAGATCAATTTTAGAAAAGACTCATGCTCCTTGTAGTTGATAAAGCAAATCGTCGATCCTCGACAACAGGTACTTATTCCTAATGGTTACCTTATTCAGTTCTCGATAATCAACACAAAGACGAAGTGTACCATCCTTTTTCTTCACGAATAGAACTGGTGCTCCCCAAGGGGAAGTGCTCGGTCTAATGAAGCCCTTATCCAACAACTCTTATAATTGCAGCTTCAACTCCCTAAGCTCAGTTGGGGCCGTTCTATAAGGTGTTTTGGAGATAGGCCGAGTTCCCGACATGACGTCAACAGTAAACTCTATTTCTCTATCGACTAAGTAGCCAGGCAAGTCATTTGGAAAGACGTCGGGGAATTCCTTAACAACTGGGATGTCGGCCAATTCAACGTTTCCACTCAGATTGCTTAGTATGCTACACAAATAACCTTGACACCCTTTTTGAATCAACTTATAGGCCTTCATGGATGAGATTAAGGTGGAGATACTACTCCTTTACCCTGAAACGTAATCTCGGCTTGGTTTGGGGGTTCCAAGGTGACACTCTTGGAAACATAATTAATGGATACACGATTAACTACTAACCAATCCATTCCCAATATGACATCAAAATGGGTCACGTTCAACAGCTTCAAATCAACAAGTAATTCAACATTCTCAATTACAACTACACATGCTCTATAAATGGATGTGACAGTCATAGTTCTCCCAGACGGAGTAGATACAGATAACACATAACCAAGGGGTTCTAGTTCCCTATTCAACTTCTTGGCAAATTTAGCAGATACAAATGAATGTGTAAAACCCGAATCAATCAATATGTATGTATCTTGAGAGCAAATTGGAAGGATACCTGACACTACTGTCTCCGCACTCTGGGTGTCTCCTGACACTAATGTAAAAACTCTGCCCTGCCTCGCATACGCCCTTCCGATGTTTTTCTGTGCAGAGCCCGAAGTGTTCCCATTCTTCTTACCATCGTCAGCCTTTGTCTTCGGACAATCCTTCACACGATGGCCTATCTCGCCGCATTCAAAGCAAGCTCCTGACGCCCAACGACAGACCCCAAAATGTGGCTTCCCACTACTTGCACACGTCGGCTTAGTATCACCTTCCCAATTTGAGTTGCTGGAACAGCCCATATTCGCCGCCTTCTTGGCATTAAACGGTACCCGGCGATTCTCATAGTTTTGTCTCTTCCTCTAGCTCTCTGCTGAACTCTGATATCGGTTCAAGTTAGCTTCTGCTAGGATGGCCTTGTCTAACACTCCGGCGTAAGTCGGCATGTTGAGCATGTTAACTCGATCCTGTATCGGTCCACGCAACCCACTTTCAAACTTCCTAGCTTTTCTATATTCGTCATCGACCATGTGAGGCGCATATCTCGCCAACTCAGTAAAAGCACGGTCGTATTCTGCCACTGTCTTGTTGCCTTGTGTCAGAGTCTGGAACTCTGTGGTCTTGCGATCTCGGACACTAGGGAGAAAATGCTTGTTATAAACAACTCTAAAAATCTGGCCCAAGTCAAACCTGGATTGCCTTCTCGGATCATCATCCACCATCTTCGAGCATCGTCGTCCAACGTGAATGCTGCTAATGACACCTTCTGGGCGTCGGTGCTAGGAAAAATCTTGAACAACTTCTCCATCTCCAAAACCCATGCTTCGGCTTTCATCGGCTCGATACCCCCTTGGAATCTCGGCGGGTTCATTTTCTTGAACTCTTTGATCAAAGTTATCGTGACGTCCCCATATAAAGCTGGCTGTGGAGGCACTTGCGGTACTGGAGGAGGTGGAGGCGGAACTGCATGTCGGCCGTTTGTCTGCTCGCCTGGGTGGAGGTAGTACTAGCGTCCTGTGGCCTAGGCTGTCTCAACTCACGGACCAAACCTTCGACCAACCTTTCTAGTCTGTCTAATCTGTCCTCGGGATGATCTCGGCCAACTAGAGGTCTACCCCATCTCATGATGCTAAGAGTATGCAAAATATGACTTCAAAACAAAATGGACAATTAGACATGTATGCAAGTAACAAATGATCATGTCGAGATGATACACACCTTGTCAAATAACAAACAATATGATGCAATCCTAACATCATTCTAAGGAACATCCTATGCTCTTTAGGACTCAAAGTGTGTGAATAACGTACTATAAGGAACCGGTGCTCTGATACCAATTTGTCACGACCCCATTCTGCCCCTAGTAGAATGGTGCCATGATGGCCAGTAATCTGAGATTACCAAAGGCTAACTTTGAAAAGTTCACACACAATCAGAGTATACATATGGGGCTTATATGTGCGGAAGCAATATTTTTGAATCTAATTAGTCTATAGGAGCTGTGAATAGATCAAATGAAATGACATACATTTTAACATGGTTTACAACTTGGATACAAATAGAATAAAGTGCATATTACATCTTGATCAAAAGGCTTCTCAAGCCGACATGTACAAAATGAACTACAACAACCAAGCCAAGAAGCATAATCTTCAAGATGCTACAAAATATGAATCCAAAACATCTTGCAAATATTCAACTAGGCGTCACCGCCTTCTTACTTGTCACCTACATATATATAAAGAGAGGGTGAGCTTGAATACTCAGTGAATGATAGTAGTAATAAAGGTTTGCATGAATGTTATTCAAGATTTTCATCAAAACAATACATAGCATAGTTTGTACAAAATCAAGGGATGAACCAAGTTCATCTATCAAGTCTTTCAAAGCTTCAAGGAATGCTTACTAGTATCAATATAATACAAGGGATAACATTCCGAATAAACCCACGCGGTAAACCGTCTGTGGCAAGAGAAGGGAGATATCTCAAACAAGGGTGCTAGTTGCATTATAGTCCCCTATCACTAAGGACTTTCAAAACAAGGATAGTAATTGCATTATAGTTCCCTAGCACTAAAGACTTTCCAAGAATGTCATCAAAACAAATATAATACTTGATACAAAACTAGAGATAATCATTCATACTTGATCAAATACTTTTCCAAAGTAAAGCAAAGCTTTATCAAAACTTTATAACATAGCTTTATTAAAATTACCACTCACATAGCTCCTCGTGTGCAGGGATTAAAGCAAGGGTTCCAAGGCCTACAAGCACATAATAAATCCCATCGAATGCACTTCAAGAAGTCAAGGAGAGATGCTTTTTTTTGGGTGAATAAGTCATAAAATAAAAACAAAAACTTACACAAAATAGAAGGGGCATGCCCCAGGCCCTAACAGAATTATACAAAAACTAATAAAAATTGGACAACAACAATGCAGACCCGTCCCAGAAAAGATGAGGGCCCACAAGGACCAAAACAAACAACCTACTAGAACATCAAAACTTCAACCAAAACCTAATAGAAATATGTGCAGAAGCAACAAACAACACCCTAAGCAAAAGAGAATTAGCTGATGCAAGGAGAATGTTCATGGGCCCCATAGACAATATGTGGGCCATGAACATACCTATCAGCAAAGACACCTAAATGAAATAACATCCCTTGCACATCCCGCAAGGGTAGGCTCAAAAGGAAAGGAGAGATGCTTAAAGATGGATATGAAATGCATTCCTAAAATAAGCTTTGCATGAGTGTAAATGATCTTGGTATTTCTTTCAAAACTAAGTCAAGACAAAGCAAAACACGTGCTAGGAGTTAAAACACTGTTTCCCAACTCGGGAAAACATGCTGGGTACCAACCAGGTCTTGGAATGGATGCACAAAGATGATCTATGCAAAAATGACCTAGCTGGGTGAACTCAGGAGGTCTTGGCCGAGGTCCCACACCTCTTGGCCGAGGTGTGGTTACCTAGACTTCGGTGCGCAGCTTCCTGCCAAGGTGGTACAAGGTGCCGGCAAGGGTGTACCATGGTCTGCCTAGGTGTGAAGTGGGTAGCCTAGGTGTGCATGCAAGATAGACTAATGGTGCAAGTGATCATGCAAGGTAGGCCAAAGTGAGATACGATGCTTGGCCTAGGTGTGAGATCAAGGCAAGAGTGGTTTCAGTGACCACACCTAGGGAAATGAGGTCTGAAAATCTGGGTTTCCTCCCTTGAAGAACATGAACATGAAGAACATGAATGCTAAAATCATAACTTCTTTATGCAAAACTGAGATTTCATGAGATGAGTTCGAAAACATGGACCTGGGTACCCATACTTGAAGATCTTATGAAAACAAACACAAAAAGATAGATCTTGATACAAACTTTCGGATCAAAACATGATTTTCTTTCAAGAACACAAGAACATCATTTTCTCTTTCTAAAACAAACTTTAAATCAATGCATGGCTCATGAATTATGCTGGATCATACAATGTGATCGGATCAATATAAAGAACAAGAGTAGATCAAGAATCTAACCTCAAAACACGGATCTAACGGTTCAAGGTGTGAAAATCAAGCTTTGAAATCTAGCTCTCTCTCTAAGAACTTCTCTTCTTCTTCCTAGAGCCTCTCTCTCTTCCTAGGACAAGATATGACAAATGATGTGGGTTTCTCTACTGCCAGCAGACTTAACCCTCTGCTGGGACACGTGGCAACGTCTGGTTGGATCTCCTCAAAAGGTGACTGATTGACAAGACAAGAATATGACAAAGTGTGTTCAACAAGTAAGGTGACAAAGGCATTCTATCAAGGCAATGACCTCGGGTCAAGACACAGGTTTCGGCAATAAGGTTTCGGTGATCTCGGCTAGGAAGGATAACACTTGGCCTAGCTGTGCCACACCTCGGCCTAGATGTGCCACACCTCGGTTTAGGTCATACCAGTCCAGGAACAAGATCACTAGGTGCAGGGATCAAACATCTGGGACGTCTAGATGGTAACATCTCGGCCTAGATAATACACATCTCGGCCTAGGTGATGCACACCTCGGCCTAGATGATGACATCTCGGCCAATATGCCAGGGCAAAGGTGGAGGTCAACCAAAGTGGATTCCACGATGGTCTTAAGTATAAGAGGTTCAAGGGCGCGACCTAGGCTTAAGATGACATCGGCTCCACACACCAAGCAAGAGACGAAACATGCAAGCAACACTTAGACAAAACAAATTAATGTGAATGCATGTGAACATGACTAAGATAAAGTGAGGGTTGTTACATGTTCCCCAGTCCATCAAATCAAGCTTTGTCAGCACACCAAATGTCCTTTCACCTATGCATTAACCATGCAATCACACGATAAGAAAAACAAAAACAAAAAATATAGTGGCCACAATACAACCCAATTAAGAGTAATGTATTGGGTAAAAAATATAAACAATATGCAGAAGTAACATTAGGATCAACTTCTCGAGCAAGCTTGATAGCATCAGATGTTGCGACATCTTGATTGGCTGGAGTTATGGCTAGGATAATGCAATTTGGCAGCAACCCAAGAACCACATATTCATAAATTAACAATGTTCAGCATCCCATCTGAACTACAAGAAATTGTAGAAAAAAATGATTTTATGGCATAAGCATGCTAGGTAAAGAATCACAACAGGAATCTCAAACAGGGAGGTGTATGAAAGAAAAAATTAGCTATTGCCATTTCAAAACCTGTATACTAGGTAGAATCTGACAAACTACAACCTATAAAGCATTTATTTTGAGCAAAGAGATTATAAAATTGTTTCTCTCGGAAATAATTAACACTCTAAATCGATTAGATAAGCAAAATGCTCTGAATCGATTATTTTTTATTAACTCGATCAAGATGGTTGCATTGTTGTTGCCAGTCGTGTGACTATAGAGCCACACTGTTTACACAACAGCAAATTACCAATATATCTGTAATACCATAAAATGGCTATAAACTGAACAAGATCAAGATATTTCTCTAATAATTGACTAGTTCTTGACACGAATCCAAACCTAACATGACTCAATAGCACAAAAAATAAACAAATCAAAATTAGTGTCAAACTCGCTTAGCATGAATTTGATGCAACTAACTCATATTATCTAATTGTTATATAAATATCAACCTTACTCTATCAAACAATATATGTCCCCTCAATACATATGTTGAAATATGTACATATTGTCAATTCATTTCTAGTTTTATATGTTCTTTTTAATTTAATTTAATTTAAATTTTTTTTTTACCAAATTCAATCAAAGTCTTTAATTGAAATCTTTGTTATCTATTAATCAAGACCGGTAAAATGTTAATCATGCCATCTGTGTTTTATTTGGATTATCAGGATACTTGACACAATAAGTTAAACGTCACACATCAGATAAGAAAAACAGATAGAATTAAATCATTAAAAAATAAAAAGTCTAATTACATCTCAAATAGAACATACAAGCGTAAATAAATAAAGACGGCAAATAATAATATGCCATATAAATTAAGTTTACTGAACATTGTAGCAGAAATCATGTCACATATATCATATTTTATTTCACCAAATTTGGTTCCTTATTATTGATTTTCCAATTAAAAAAATTCATTGAACCTTTCATGGCACAAGAAGAGAGTTGTACAAAATGGAAGGAATCCACTAGATAGATAGCAAATTAACAATCAGAGTACACTGTTACATTAAAATGATGAAAATTGTTCACAAACCTGACCTAAGAGCACCAAAAAAAGGAGATGAAAACCAGAAGCAGTAACAAAAACAAAATTGAGTATGCTATATATATACATATATATGAACTTAAAAGAAGAAGATTGAATAGAAAAATAAGATTACGCCAAGCAAAGCATGATAGGAGCACAGTGCTCCCTGGAGATGATAGCTCAAAGGTCTCGACGGGCCTTTTCGATCTCCATGGAGATGAGCTTGGGTGTAATTAGAAGAGAATGAATTAGAGAGACTAGAAGTCAACTTGCACATTGAATGTTTTCCACACAATGAATAAGGAAACAACCTGGAATTGCAACCCAAAGCATATTAATCAGCAAAAATAAGTACCTCGTCTTTACTAGAACCAATTAAAGTACCACATTGACCTGCAAAAGAAGAAAAAAAGACAGTTTACACTAATGATATCCAATAAGAAAGCAGATTCACAAATATATATATATAGAGAGAGAGAGATATAATCATACAAATCAAAATCACTAATAATAAAACAAAATTAAACATTCACAACAACATTAGATTTGAAGATATGGGCACTATCTATTTTCTTCAGAGAATGAATAGTATTATACGCGTATTAAACTAAGTATGACTAAAAAAGGAATTTAAGCATAGGGAAAAAAGTTATCAATTTTCAAAAAAAGTAAATCAAAAAAATAATTATACATAAACTATTTCAACTAAATTGATGAAAATAAACTAGTTTCATAATTTTTGTTGTTGTGATTTAGAGGGCGTTGATACTATGTAAATCAAAAATTTTAATTATACAAAAACTATCAAAATTAACTTTAAATCCATCAGTGTATCATCACTTGTATCACATATTGAATTCCACCATGCCTAAATTCCAAACAGAAGTAAGAGAGATTAATCACTTTTGAAGAGGAACTAATTGATCTGAAAAATGTACAAGAGATAAAGAGTAAGAGAGATCGATCTATTCAATCGATCTAATCTGAGAGTGGAAAAATAAATAGTTAATCAACAAATCTAATTTGACAATGAGAAAGTATATCTGATAGTTCAAACTCAAACACCGATTAACACTTGTTAATGAAAAACAAAATAACAATGGCTTGCTTTAAACCTTGTTAATTAACAGATTTAACAAAATATGAGAGAGATTAGATCAGATCTAGTTTAGATTTCTATAAGATTAGATTGAATTTCTTGTTCGATTTTTGATCTTCGATTTGTGAGATAGATCGAATTCGTTGAAGAACAGCCAGAGTGAGAGTAGATCTAACAAAATACGAGAGAGATCAGATCAGATCAAGTTTGAATTTTGATCAAACTAGATTGACTTTCTTGTTCAATTTTAGATATGCGACATGCGAGAGAGATCGAGATCGAGTTCGATGAAGAACAACTAGAGTAAGAGAGATCAATTTTAATCGCGTGAGTGAAGAGCAATGTGTGAGAGAGAGTGAGATTGTGTTATTTTTGGTAACTGGAATGGTTTGAATAGATATGGGGTTAAGTGTCTATTAAGTTAAATAGACTTGGCTCATTGAGACCATCACACCTTGAAACACACGTTGATATATCATCGCGTTTTTTAAAACGTCTTGATGCAAGTGCCATCATAGTCAACTTTTCTTGTAGTGTCAGTAGGAGTGTTCTTGGGTATGTTCTTCACATAAAGAGCCTTAACTTGGAAACCAACACAGGTACACTTTATATCTCAAGCTAGCAATGAACTATTTTACTATGAAAGCAACTAGGGACAAATAAGGTGTACTTTCCACATGCATGATTTAGAATGAATACTTTGATCTGTAGAAAGAGAATTTAATATTTCTCATGTATATTTTCCCCAATCAGCATTTGCTAGAGTTGAGTGGAAAAGAAAGATTCATATAGCTAACTCCATTTGATGGGACTTAAGATTTAGTTTGGTTTCGTTTATATCTTCCCAAATCTAAAGAGGTTTAAAATAAGCTTTACAAGGGTGGGCAAGCTAATTCTTTCTCAGCAAGAGAAATGGAGACTACAATTCATTTCATTCTACCAGTTTGGGAAAAGATTAAAAAACTTTTTAAAGCTCTTAGAATGCACTTGGGTTCAAAAAAGCATGCTACTGCCAGAGGCCTAGGAGGCAGAGTTACAAAGTTAAGCTCTACATTGAATTAATTCTTCCAAATGAGTTCAGTACTTGCATTGCAGTGCTAGATTTGGTCGACATATGATGTTGTCCTCGGACTCCCTGTAATCCCATTCACTATGCATGCATCAAGAACTCACCAGTGCATCCAATGTTGATAAAAGTAACAAAACTTAAAAAAATATAGGAAACGTTTAACAGGCCCCCCTCAACTCACACCCTAACCTATACATGATAGGGACACCCCTTAAACTCATGACCAGTGAAAAATAACACCCCTCCATTAGTTTGCTGCTAGTAAATATAAACTAAAATATAACTATGTAGTCAAGTTCTCTCTTTGCCACTTTGAAATTGGGTTACATTTTAACATTTCAAGTACAAAAGAATTATTTTTTATTTTTTTTCCTAATTATTTTTGGTTGTTAGGACAAATATGCTGCAGTCTTACATATCCATGCAACAAGGATTCTAAGATGGAGGTCAAATAGATGGTATTGAAGGTAAATACCAGCTTAAGCTGTAACAGTGTACCACAATAATGCCTTAAGGAAGTAGTCAAAATTTAATTTGAATTGTAAGAGCTCAGACAGGTTTCCATCCCATGGGAATTTACCTGAGAAACAGCAGCAGAATTATCAGGCACATTCTTTGGATCAGCCCAGCTGACAGTCGGGGCATTGCCATCCATCTTAAAATTTGCACTCGACGTTTTCTGTCTAGAATAGTCAGCACAGGCATTGTTGTCATACTCAACAAAAGCAAAGCCACGATTCTGGCTTGGATTTTGCAGATCCTGTTCTTACAAGAAGACAATGGTACCAGCATTGTAGTAGTTATAGCTAGTTCATTATCAAGACAATTATACAATTATTCATAACATATGCAGTTCAAAATTTCAAAAATCAAAAAACACCTTTATAAGCTCAATGTTTTTGCTGCCCCAGGACCAGTCACCTCAATGACTTTTCTAAACTCATCATCTGTCCAGGTCTTCGGAACATTACCAATAAACAACCTGTGTTGAGCTTCAGAGAGTGAACACCTTAATGATCTACCCTACAGTGATGAGACATACAAAAAGTCACAAACTAAAACAGTATTTGTAATGCATCGGAATAACCATGCCCATCTTTATTTTGCTTATGAAAAATATAAATAAATAACTGAATAAGTGCGTCTGAGGCCCCAAACATTTAATTTTTGCAAAGACCAATGTGTGCAAAAACAGGTCGTACTGTTGTAAGCACAAAAATACCTTGAATTCTTTGTTGTGCAACTCTTCAATGGCCTGTTGTGCAACCTCCTTGGCTTTGAATGCTACAAAGGCAAAACCCTTACCTTCACCAGTATCCCTATTTTTCATCAACTTTATCTGCAAATGATTGAGACATTAAAATCATATAGGAAATGCAACAAATAAATTCCTAAATGATACAGGCAGAAAGATCATGATCCCAGGCACCTTTTTTCTTCCCCCTGGATTAGAACTGACCTCAAAAATCTTGTCCATTAATTCACAGAGATCCCTCAAATCTTCTTCTGAGACATCTTGAGGAAGTCCACCAACAAAAATTTCAGACCCATGAGGAGGAAGGGCAAGAAGCTCTGCACACTTCTCTTTGTCATCTTCATCAATTGAAAGTTTTTTCTTCATCTTCCACGAGCTCATTGACAATGTTGCTCCTATCTGCTTCACCTCTATCTACTTCTAGCACTTGGTCTTTCCCACTATCCTCTCTTCTCAAGTCCTCATGTCGGTCTTCACCATTTTCATTGCCACCTCCTCCTGCTGCATCATCCTTTATTTGTTTTTCAACGTCATCGTCCATTTCTTCAATGTAATAGTCATCGTCAAGATCCACCCGGTCCTCATTTTCCGTCCCCTCAGCCATGACTGCTTCACGTCCCAAGTCTTGTGATCCAAAGAACACACTAGACTTCCAACTAAGTTACCTGAAAACTTGCACTAAGGATACACAGAAGCTAAGAATTTGCTTAAATCATGATACAATGATACCCATGCAGATGGATTGAAAAACACTATGCAAAGGTAAGTGCAAGTTAAGGAGAAGTATCAGAATAGAAGTGAAAAAAGTACTTCACAAATCCTCTGGGTTTCACAAGCTGTGTGCAGACAGCAGAGTAAACACTGACCAATTCTCAAATGCACCTTATTGCTGTTAATGATTTAATAGGAAAAGAAAAGAAAAGAAAAGAAAATTTATTGCTCTTTTGGCATCATTCTAAAAAACTATTTCCTGTTCTTGAAAAATATGTCATACAAGTTTTTGTTTGTATTGACAGGCTGGGGAAATTCTCGAGTCTATGTATTGGATTTTTTTCCTCAAGTTTCTAATTTCAGTCATTTTGGGATCTCCTAAATAACCATCTATGGTCATGTTTCTGGGGGAATTTGGTTTGTTTCACCTATGGCTTCTATATCCCTTTTCCTGCAGAAATGATTCCCCACATTGGTTAATCCTTACTAGCTTTTCATATGGGAATAATTAAAAAGCTCAGTCCACACTTCTCCTTAAAACCCAGGTATTAAGAAGAAAGAAACTGAAACCTTATAACTAGCACAAATGGGACAACTCCAGGCGATGTGGGACACATTCCAACAGGAATTTATGTTTATTTACCTGTTTTCTTGCATGAAACACAAGTAATGTTGACAGCATTATTTGACTTCATTCACGGAATCACGGATTATTACTTGGTCTTGTGACTTGTGAGGTTTCATGATACAAATGACAACGAACAAACACCTCCAATAGGTCAAAGACTACAAAGACTCCAGAGCAAGAATGGGAAGGGTTATTTGTCCCCTAAATAAGTTTGCAAACATGCACAAACTCCAGTGGAAGGAAAATTGATCTCACATCTTACATGAATATCTGATAATATTCTAAGCCTCCATAGAAAAATAACATTTTCTAATAATAAACTAATAATACCATAGTTCCTTCACTTACCTCGAGTTTTGAGATACTTTGCAGTATGTGTAAAGACAAACGCTCTGTGCAGTTCAGGATAGAAGCAGCAACGTCCTATGGGAAAGACCAATCGCCAAGTCCAACTCCTAATATTGCATGATAGTAACAAAGCATGAATTCCACACCACACTCGGCTCTTGACTAACTCATATAGCCATCTTCATCCATCAGGATGCTGAATAGGTCTGGAAATACACATTTGAGACAGCATCCCTGCACCAAGGATCATTCCAAAAATAAATCTACCATCTCCCTTTGTGTATCCAATATGCTCTCAAAATTTATCTGATCATAATTCCACTCTCAATATCAACCAGCTACATGAGAATGTCTCACCTAATCAGAGTCTGATATACCCTTCCCATATTTGCCTATCACATTTAAAATGAATATCTAAACAAAAAATAACAAATAAGCAAATTGACTGTAGAATATCAATGTTAAACAACATAGAAAATAGACCATTTTTTGACACAAACACTACACTAAAATCAACTAAGCTAACAACAACTAATTTGGCAACAAACTGAAATAAATAATGACAGAACCATGTGGAGTAGGTTGTTTAAACCTGGAACCTTACATATTCCCAAGGTTGAAGGGGAATAGAATGGATCAAACAAGTAAGTAACAAAGAACTTTCAAGCAACTCTTGATCTACAGTGTATCCTCCTAATTAGATATTCCTCCAAACCAGCAGCCGCTTCCACTATTCTTGTGTCAGGCATTATTTCTACCTTCAAAACCTCTTCGAAAAGATTTCCCATTCCAACAGTTTCATCCACCTCACAAATTCTAGGTACAATTTCCACCCAAGTATCCACATGCGGGGCTTCCCCATGTCTCAACATTTCCTCCAACATTCCACAAGCTTCATTGACCTTGCCAACATTACAGAAGCCAATGATCAATGCATGAAAGATTGAAAAATGTGGAGAAAGCCCCTTCAATATCATTTCTTTCATATAACTCTTGGCCTCGTCGTACATGCCCTGATTGCATAAACCAACAACCAAAGTCCGATAAGACACCAAATTCGGTAAGCACCCATTTGATTGCATATCCTCTAGAACCTTACAAGCATTGAAAGCACGACCTTCCCTGCAGAATCCCAAGATGACAGTATTGTAATGAACAATGTCAGGATTGCATCCTTTAACCTTCATCTTGCAAAGGAGCTTGTAAGCCTCCTTAAGCTTCTTCCTACACAAACAGTTCAACAATGTGGTATAACTCAAAGTATCTGGCACAAAACCTTTGTTCAACATATCTTCCAACAAGTCAATAGCTTTGTTCACCTGACTCTTCCTACACAATCCCTGCATTAAAATTCGATAGGACTCAACATCAAGAGCAACATCTCTTTTAAACATCTGATTGAACAGGGAATATGCAATGCTGAGACAACCATGAAAACAAAGGCACGCATCAAAATGTTGTACGAGTTAGTGTTGGGTGATATTCCGAAGCGGTGAGCGGATTTGAAAAGGTCAAAAGCAGGGCGGAGATAGGTTGGATGAGCGACAAGGACCTGGAGGACAAGGTTTAGGTGCTTGGGCAGGGGTTTGGTATTGAATTGGAGGATGGTGTAAAAGGTGTTGAGGACTTTGTCGGGAAGTTGGGCGTCAGCATAGAATCGGATGATGTGGGAGAAGAGGGAAGGAGCGGCAGGGTAGCCATGGGCTTTGAGACGTTACCATCTCCACTACCACCCACCACCTCCACTACCATCCACTACCACCACTCACTTACCTCACACCTCTCCTATATAATAGCTTGTAACATACAAATCAATATACAACAATCTTGTAATCAATCAATCAATAATATACATCAGTTTATTTTACACGGATGATGTAGGAGAAGAGGGAAGGAGCGACAGGGTAGCCATGGGCTTTGAGACGAGAGAGGAGGTTGTGCATGAGAGAGAAGTGACGAGTGTGGCCGAGTTTGAGAATGAGAGTGTGGAAGGAAGAGTAAGAGTGGTGGAAGTTGGATTGGCGAGAGGCCAAGTTGAAAATTTCTATGGCAAGGAGTGGGTTTGGTTGGGAAGCTATGAGCTTTTGGATTCGAGCAGGGGACCCAATTGGGATTGCAGAAGGACGAGGAGGAGGAGGAGGACGAGGAGGAGGAACTAAATGTTTTTGCATCTGTTTGAGTTGTTTCCGTTTCTGCCGTTGATTATGGTCTTCTTGTTGTTGTTGGGGTGTTGAAGAGAAGAAAGAAAATTTTGGGAGTTTCAACGGGAGAATAGTGGAACAGTGAATAACGGTGGTATCAATTTTGTAGGAACGAAGAAGAGGAAGAAGCAGTTGGTGCATTCTAATAGATCAATTAATGGTTAATTTCACAGTAAACAGGAATATTATTTGTTTGTGAAGGAGAGGAGGGTTTTTCGGATGTTTTCTTCCTTCATAATATCATCAGGACAGCATGCATCTTCTTTGTGCCAAGTTCTCTGCCCTTCTCCAGCAGCTGCGGTATAACTATCACGATCGAAGCCAATGCAGTTGCTGACTGTATTGCCAAATTAGCAGCTATCTCTCCTTTTTTGTTATTGGTGCTGCATATGTAATGGAAGATGCTCAATGTAATGACATTTTCTTAATTTGAAATAAGAATAAGTTCATAACACTATTTTATAGCTATTAGACATGTAATTGACAGGACTGGCTCTGACTTTTATAGGGGGGCCTTTTTTTCATATATATCCCCAAAAATATATATATATATATATATATATTCATTCATAATTTCACTAGGTTCTTCAATTACAAAATCTTCATCAACTAAAAATGATCTCTCTACTTGTTTCTTGTTACCAAAAAACTTATCAATTGCACCCGATTGAGAGTGAATAAATTTTTCTACTTTTTGTTTCGTTTTCTTTTTTCACATCCGGAGCTATATCTCCGAGGAAGCATGACTATATAATAAAAAAAATCCACACAAATTCACAATCCACTGAATATGGATATCTGCATATAATAATACTAGTGTACGTCTGTGTCTAAAGGCACGGTGTAAATAATATTAGGATCAAAATATAGTTGTAATTTGTACGTATCATGTTAAAATTTGTGAAGTCCATAGGATTTTTTTATTCTTCTTAAAGAATTTTTAACAAGTTTGCTTGTATAACACGCTTTATAGAACTCAATTAAAAATAACAACTCCGCCTAGCCTTAATGCAAATTAAAGAATAAGCATATAAAATTTATAATGTATAGTAATATTACAAATGAAAATAGTAAAATGTAAAGTAAAAGAAATATAAATCTATAACTCATGCCTAAAGGCACTCTCAACAATTTTTTTGGTACATCACTCTACAAAACTCAATTAAAATAAATCAATTCAGAATGACAATAATTTCACTGCACTATAGAACTCAATTATAACAAATCAATTCAAAATGACATACTTCACACATAAGAGAAATGGTGAATGAACATTTTAGTACCAAAGAATAATCATTATAGCTTATTAAAAACAAAAAAACTAATCATCTAATAAAGAATGAAAGACCAATCATTAACACACATAGAAAAAAGCAACACAACCACAACGTTTCTAATACTGATTAATCACCGGTAACAAAATCATTCCAACACTTAAATTCGACTTTAAAAAATCAGCAAAAAGAAATCATAACAGGAAAACTCATTCAAAATATTTATGAGAAACAGAAAAACCAATAATTATGAATTAAGATAAATTGAACATAAAAAAATTTCTAACATAACTCTTCTTCATAAAAGCACCAGTGTCTTCCCCAATTTACCTGCAATTATCACATTCAGACTTGAACAATTTTTTCGTGATCAAAATACGTGATTCCTCATAGAAAGCTTAAAAAATTCATTTTAAAAAATTACCATTAAAAAAATGTAACA